AGGTGGCTCAGCGGTTTAGTGCCTGCCTTCGGCCCAGGGCCTGATCCTGGATACCTGGGATCAAGTCCCATGTTGGGCTCCCTGCATGGAGCCTGCTTCTCCCTCTGTCTCTGTCTCTGTCTCTCCCTCTCTCTGTGTCTCTCATGAATAAATAAAATCTTTTAAAAAAGGGGAGGGGGGTAAAAAAACAAAATAATCTATTCCAAGAGCTGAAAATAGCCTACTGCTCACCAGTTTTCAATTTTTTTTTTCTGGTGTGTAAATTGGCTAGCCACCCATATCACTCTTAGGTACACCTTGGACTATCAGCTAAAGTCACAGATATCTGATGTTAATGCACTCTGACGGTCACTCCTGCTTTGCTGCTCATTAGAGTAATTACAGTCACAGGGCTTCTGTTAATTAGTGTCTCCACAGGAATCTAATATTCTGGAAATGTATCATATCCATCAACACTGGACATCCCAGTTTTATGGCAACACTGCCCACTCAGTTCTGGGATACAAAGGCTATCTATACGTCAGGTCACAACTGAGTTTCTCAAGAATGACAGTTGCGACCCAGCAGTCTCCTCTGTTCTATTCTCGAGGTAAACACATTCAGATGGTGGGTTTTCTGGTTTCATGTAACATTCTACAGTTATGGTCTAACATCAAAACGTTATAATCTAGGTCTCTGATCTTTCCTCAATAACTCCACCAAGGCAATTTTAGCACTTCTGCTTCATTTACTTATAGTAAATGTAAGCCACCATTTTATCCAATTGCAAGAATTAACTGGGCAGCATATTAAAGCAAGTTTTAGGTGTCCTTGTCAAGATGTTAAGCCCCAAGTTTAACATCCCACGTCAATAAACTTTTCCCCTTTCCAGCCCCAGATACTGACTTTTCTAGATACACTCCAACATGTGCTCCCCTTGTTCCAGGTCCTATCCTTTCAGTATGCACAATACTTCTCACCACATGTACTTATTACTTCCACTACCCTTTGGGAAGTGCTGCAAATTGATTCTCATTTTAAGTCTGATGAGGAGATGGCACAATTTTGAGAACAAGTATTATTTATGAGGCACCCACTTCAGGTTTTGAGGGTAAGTGTCACGGCAAGTTGAGGATGATTGCCTCCAACAAGGGTAAGGGGGCTGCTTCTACCAGTCCAGAGAGTGAAAAAAAATCTGGAGCTCTAGATATGCTAGAACAGGCTCATCCACACACATGTCCTCATCCCAGGTCTCAGAATTCCACTCTTTCCATAATAGACCCCTCATTTCAGAATAGGAGACCTGTCAAGGCTCAGTATTCAGTAGTGTAGTTATACTTAACATTAAACCCTGAGTTTGAATTTCCATACTGTTTGTGCTTCAGCTACTACATGTAAATAGGGCTTTTCAAATACTGAGGTGCATTTTTCTGATGTTCATAGTGTATCTTGAATTTGTAGTTGCCTATTTTGTTCTCATATCTCCTAAAGACTTTTCAAAAAGCAGTCAACTCCACAACTCCACCTTCAACATCCTTCAGAATTAAAAAAAAAAAAAAAAGGAAGTTGTATCAGTCCTACTAGAGCAATTGTTGCCTAGGTGGGGGCAGAGATTCCTGTTGCTTCCTATTCCACCACCTAGAACCCTCTCCAAATTCCAAATTGTTATTTTTTTATTAATGTAGAAATACCAAATAAAATGTTTTCAGGGCAGCCCAGGTGGCTCAGCAGTTTAGCACCGCCTTCAGCCCAGGGAATGATCCTGGGGTCCCGGGATCAAGTCCAACCTCGGGTTTCCTGCATGGAGCCTGCTTCTCCCTGTGCCTGTCTCTGCTTCTCTCTCTCTCTGTCTCTCATGAATGAAATCTTAAAAAAATTTTTTTCAACATCAGAATTATTTTAAAAAGAAAAGAAGCCAAGATGCCTGGGTGGCTCAGTGGTTGGGCATCTGCCTTCAGCTCAGGGCGTGATCCTAGAGTCCTGGTTTGAGTCTCACATCAGGCTCTCTCCAAGAAGCCTGCTCCCTCTGCCTATGTCTCTGCCTCTCTCTGTGTGTCTCTTATGAATAAATAAAATCTTTAAAAAATAAGAAAAGCTGTCAATTTCACAATCCTTGTTATTACCACTATCTCCATGCCCAATGCTACTCTCATATTGATGTCTGACCTTTCATCAGCTCCTCAAGCTAGTCTACCACTGAAGAAAGTCTTAATAACTGTGATATTACACCATGTTCATCACACCACCTCCACCAGTGGGGTCTCTATCACTAAATTGCCCCAAGAGTGATAACAGTCCTGAGTCCCATCCTGATAAGATATTTTCTAGGGCCACTTCAGCTAACACTGGACTTAGCCTGGGTTCCCCATAAAACAGAACTGGAACAAGAGCTTGCACATAGGTTGATTTTGATAAAGGAGTAGGAAGGTAGGAAGTAGGAAGAGTCAAACAGGAAATGAGGAAAAGGCCATATCGTGTGCTATGAGTTGGCTGTTGCTGCTATCAGTTAGCAACTGGAGTGCAAGCCCCTTTAGTAAACTTCTGAAGAGCCACGTGGAAGTTCCCTCAGGTGTATTTGTATTTAACCACTGCCTCTCATCCTCCTTGTTCAAGAATTGCCCCATGGGGTTTAGCTCTCTATTCAAGGATAGCTCCCTATCCCTATCCAAGGATAGTTGATGTGTGAGAATGCTTAAGGGGGTTCCTGCATGTGTTCCACACAGCTGAGGCAGCAGCAAAGCCCTGGCGCAGGAAGGAAGCAAGGAGTACACAGTGCAGCTAAGGCAAGTTGCTGTGAGTTCACAGAATACAACTGGTTGTATAACTGGAGTAAACATGTTAGGCTTAGAAGATGAGAAGAGCTTTCTAATACACAGTAGGATAAGTGCTCTAATAAAGCAATGTTCAAATACTATGGAAACTTAAATGGGGAAGAGAAGATCCTTGGGCTTTGCAGCACGACTGGAAGAGCTGAGGGCTTACTGTTATTGCTTCCCCATTTGTATCCTTTTTTTTTTTTAAATGCCAGATTAAATTCTATTCATTATCTTCTGCCCCCAAAGCCTAATGTCTTAAAAAGAAGGAAAAGGAGGAAAAGAACTTAAATATTTTTTGTGGCAATTTTTTTTCACGTCAAAACGTAGTAGTTGGTGGCTAAAAACACAAAGTGTTTAGTAGCCCTTCCTGCCACCTTATCTGTGAGGGATATGTCCCAGATCCCCAGTGAATGCCTAAAACCATGGTTAGGACTAAACCCTATATATACTCTACATACATGCCTGTGATAAAGTTTAATTTATAAATTAGGTATAGTGAGAGATCAATAACAAAACCAGCACAAATTTCTTTTTTCATTTTTCACAATTTCACAGATTTGTCACTATAAATCTCAGCAGCCTCAAAATGTTTTTTTTCTTTCCCTATTTAAAGAACTTTCAACTCTTCATTTCAAAGCACTTTCCAGCTTTTTGTTGGCATCTCTGAATTGCCAGTATTATCACCCTTGAGTTTGGGGACCACTATTAAGTAAAATAAGGGTTCCCTGAATACAAGCACTGCCATACTGTGACAGCTGATCTGATAAACCAGATGGCTAAGTGACTAATGGGCGGGTAGTGCATATATAGTGTGGATACACTGCACAAAGAGATGATTTAGGTCCCAGACAGGACATTGTGAGATTTCATCAGGATACTCAAAATGGCATGCAATTTAAAACTAATGAATCGTTTCTTTCTGGAATTTTCCATTTAATATTTTTGGACCACAGTTGACTGTAGATAACTGAAACCATTGAAAGAAAACTGCAGGTGTGGGGTAGTGGGAACTACTGTATTTCCCCTTGAACTGTGACTTACACTTTACTGGAGCTGTGAAAAAGCATGAGAAAACACCTGAATAAATGCATACACTGTGTAATCTATTTAGGTGGTGAGGAGAGAATCTGCATCATACTGTAGTAAACAATTCAGAACACGGAAAGGAAATGCATTTATACATATATTAAACAAAGGAATGATTATTCTTTTGTGGTCCTGAAGTTGAAAAACAAATTCAAAACAGTGATTACAAATGCCACTCTCAAATACTAACTTTCTATTGAATGTACTGTTTGTGTGCTACTAATGGACAAATTTTCCAAAATTCTGTGGTTGAACTGCAGGTTCCTTTCAAAAGAAAATGATTATATAAGATGCTTTTGCTTGCTTAGCATAAGAAGAAAAATATTTATTTAGATGAAAACAAGTAAAGAGATGTTTTAAACACACCTAAACAGATAAAAAGAGGATACCTATTGGGTTTTAGAAAGTTCACAAACCAACCACAACATTCAAGTTCAATATTTTATATGGTTAGATCTAAAGTATTTTGTGCTTTACTTTTCCCATTATAAACAGTTATGCTTTATAGCTGAGCCTGTGATTAAGAATGATTGATTCACTTCTCAAATCAGGACACACTAAATACATCTTTTTTTGGATAGTTTTTTATGCATTTATAAAATTGCTTCAGGTAGTTTATAAGTCACAATGGATCTTTTTTTTTTTTATTTTTAAGATTTTATTTATTTATTCATGAGAGACACACAGAGAGAGGCAGAAACAGAGGCAGAGGGAGAAGCGGACTCCATGCAGGGAGCCCGATGTGGGACTCGATCCCAGGACTCCAGGATCACACCCTGAGCCGGAGGCAGAGGCTCAACCACTGAGTCATCTAGGCATCCCACCACAGATCATTTTAAATAAGCCTTTCCTATCCAAAACTGGCATATTGTTGCCACATTAAATTAGTTACTACTGTCCGTTTTCAAGTTATTTTCTGAATTTATGTAGGATGCCTAACAATGGCACCATGCTATGTAGTTATGAAGACACTTATGGTCTTTTGTAAAAATCAGTATTTATTTTATACCAGTTCTCTTTTCAGACAGAAGACGGAACAAATGAAAAAAATTAGTTACTAAGTCACATTTAACTAGCACAGGGATTGTTCAATGCAACAATATACAGAAGTTAACTCCATTTAATTTACAGCTTATTTCATAACAATATTTTATTAAGATATACTTCACATGTAGTAAAATCACAAATCTTAAACATACAGCTTGGGGGATGTTGACAAATGTATGCAACTACATACTGTCAGCCACATCAAGATACAAAACATTTCAATTACCCACTCCCTCAAATACCCTCATGTCCCTTTTCCAGACAATTTGAATCTTCTGCCCTCACCCAGAGCAATCACTGTTCTGAGATGCATCACAACAGCCTGGTTTGGCCTATAATTGGCCTTCATATAAATAGTTATACAGAATATTGTATCTGGTTTATTTTGTTCAATGTAATGCTTTTGAGATTCATGTAGGCTCATGCACGTACCAGTAGTCCATTCGTTTTCATAAGTAGTATTCCACTGAGTATATTGCAGCTTGTCTATCATGTGGATAGAAACTCGATTGTTTATAGTTTTGTGTTATGAATAAAACTGCTATAAATACTCATTTGAGTATATACTCTCTTGAGTATATACCTAAGAATGAAACTGCTGAAACACAGAGTAGGTGTGTATTTAACTTTAGAAACTTCCACTTTTCCAAAGTTCTTGTACCATATACTCCATTCCTATCCACTGTGTATGAAAGTTCTAGGTACTCCACATTCCCATTATTGCTGGACATTATTCCCATTATTGTCAGTCTTTTTCAGCTTTAACCATGTAACCAGTGTGTATACTTTGTAATTTTAGTCATTTAGTGCTATCTTGTTATGGTTTTAATGTGCATTTCCTTGATGATAAGTGATGTTAACTTTATATATTTACTTTTGTATATTTTTTTTCTGTGAAGTTTCTTTAACTGGCTTCTTTTATTACTGATTTACAGGAGTTCTTCATATATTCTGGGTAAGAATCCTTTGTCAGATATGGGTACTGTGAATATTTTATTCCAATCTGTGGCTTGCTTCTTCACTTAATGGAAGTTTTTGATGAACATAATGTTTTTATTTTGATGAAGTCCAATTTCTCTTTTTCTTTTAAATTATTGCTTTTCATGTCTTATCTGAAAAAAAAAAATATTTCTCTAACCTGGATTACAAAGATTCTCTCCTAGATTTGTTTTCATTTCACCAGTTACATTTAATTTTTCTGTAGACTTTTAAGTAGGAGAGAAGGTTTTGATTTTGTTTTCATGTTTTTTATAGTTATTTCAATACCATTTATTGAAAAGATTATCCTTTTCCTTTTTAAATACATTGGCACCTTTGTAAAAAAAAATCAGTTGATTGCACATTGTTCTTTATAGTTTCTCCATCCTGTTACATTGATGTATTTGTTTAAACCTATGCCAAGGGCACACTGCCTTCATTATTATATCTTAATAGTACGTTCTAAAGTCAGATTGTATAAGTCCTCCAACTTTGTTCTTTTTCAAAATTGTTTTTGGCTATTTTGAGGTCCTTTGTATTTCTTTTTTTGTCTTTTTTAAAGACTATTTATTTATTTATTTATTCATGAGAGACACAGAGGAGAGAGGGAGAGGGAGAGAGAGAGAGACAGTCAGAGGGAGAAGCAGGCTCCCGGCAAGGAGCCCGATGTGGGACTCGATCCCGGATCCTGGGACCACACTTTGAGCCAAAGGCAGACGCTCAACTGCTGAACCACTCAGGCACCCCGGTCCTTTGTATTTCTATATAAAATTTGAGTCAGTTTGTCAATTTATACTCCCTCTGGGATTTTTAACTGAGATTGTAGTGAACCTATAGATTAATTTAGAAAAACAAATTAGGTGGCTTATTTTCTCCTATATAAAGAAATCTATAGGTAGGTAGTCCAGATATGATACATTACTCTATTGCACTGTTTAGAACCCAGGCTCCTTTGTCTTGTTGCTCAGCTGACTATTCATTGACTATCTCCTCATTGATACAATACAGCTAGTGTGTTACCTCAGGTTTCAATTATGCAATTCAGGAGAAAAAGACAAAAGGTAAAAGGTATGTGGCAGCTGAATCTTTCACCTTGGGATCCCTGGGTGGCGCAGTGGTTTGGCGCCTGCCTTTGGCCCAGGGCGCGATCCTGGAGACCCGGGATCCAATCCCACATCGGGCTCCCGGTGCATGGAGCCTGCTTCTCCCTCTGCCTGTGTCTCTGCCTCTCTCTCTCTCTCTGTGACTATCATAAATAAATTTAAAAAAATTAAAAAAAAAGATGAATCTTTCACCTTTAAAACATCTTTTCTTAATGATCTACTGGACAATGTATACATACATCTCATTAGTCTGAACCGTTTTATCATGTCATTTCTAACTGCAAAGGAATCTGGAAAAATGTTTTTAAGTAGTGCCCCTAAAAATTCAAGTTCTGTTAGTAAAAAAGAAGAGGATAAAATATATTGTCAAACAGACAGACAACTAGGTATTCTGTACAAGTAATAAAAGTCCTTAAGGGCAGCCCTGGTGGCACAGCGGTTTAGCGCCACCTGCAGCCCAGGGCGTGATCTGGAGACCCTGGATCAAGTCCCACGTCAGGCTCTCTGCATGGAGCCTGCTTGTGTCTCTGCCTCTCTCTCTCCCTGCATCTCTATGAATAAATAAATAAAATCTTTAAAAATAATAATAATAAAATAAAAGTCCTTAAAAAATTCTTCTGTAAGACTGCTAATCTCTTAGTTAAGAAAGCTAGTGAAGGATGAGGTTTGGTGGAGAAGTTCATAGATGATCTATTAGATGGCTTCAAACTCTGAACTATATGACAATACAAAATTTGAAAAACTCTAGACTAGGAGTATTTGATGTTTACAAAATAAAATGAAGACATTTTGGCATCTGGTTTAACAGCATTAAGAAAATGTCACTTGTTTGTAAATGAAAGTAGAATCTGTTGCCCCGATTCAAGACCATTTCATTTCCTTCCACACACTAAAAATAGTCACAAGACAGGGAAAACAGATGGTTAAATACATATGTAACTTAATGATGCCTTAATGGATGTGGATCTCCTGTCAACTGAAATAGGTCATTGTTTTCAACCCATTTCAACAATGCACAGAAGATTCTAAGTAAAGAATTACTGTACATTACACGGAATTTTAAAAAATGCACAGGGATCCCTGGGTGGCGCAGCGGTTTAGCGCCTGCCTTTGGCCCAGGGCGCGATCCTGGAGACCTGGGATCGAATCCCACGTCGGGCTCCCTATATGGAGCTTGCTTCTCTCTCTGCCTGTGTCTCCCCCTCTCTCTCTCTGTCTCTGTGTGACTATCATGAATAAATAAATAAAATCTTTAAAAAAAAAAATAAAAAAATAAAAAATAAAATAAAAAAATGCACAAATAACATATTCTAGTCTCAGGCTGGCTGAAGTTTAGGGAAGTGGAAAAAAATAATGATGTTGGTTGACAGAGTCAGGGATATCTGGGGTGATGGTGATGCAAGGCAGATAGAACTGACTGACGTGATGACTCCTAGAGTAAATGACTCTGAGAAACATTTTAACTTTCTAGATAAAGTCATCTACAAACTTCCTATTCTCTTGCTAACTCATATACAACTTGCCAGAGATACTATATTTTCACTGACCTCCATGAAAACAGTTCTTGAAATGTGCTGGTGGTATCATGATTAAAAAAGATTATACTTATTATTGGTTTACCTTAAAAGATACAGAGGAGAAATGACTGATATGGTCATCTACTATACTCCTGTACATCAGGTTTCTCTGTTAGCCACAGCTCTGATTCTGGTTGTTTCCATTCTTCTCCAAGCAGTGTGTTAAAACCGAAAGGCTTGAAATATTCCAGACGATGGCTAAACACAAAGAAAAAGAAGGTGGGAATTGAAATGAATTATGCGTTTGTGAAATAGTTGTCCTGAAGGGCTATTCATTTTGTCACATTTGTGACAGAACAACATTCTATTTTAAAAATACCAAAGGTGGGATCCCTGGGTGGCGCAGCGGTTTGGCGCTTGCCTTTGGCCCAGGGCGCGATCCTGGAGACCCGGGATCGAATCCCACGTCAGGCTCCCGGTGCATGGAACCTGCTTCTCCCTCTGCCTATGTCTCTGCCTCTCTCTCTCTCTCACTGTGTGACTATCATAAATTAAAAAAAAAAAAAAAAAAAAAAAAATTAAAAAAAAAAATAAATAAAAATAAAAATAAAAATACCAAAGGTAAGGGATCCCTGGGTGGCGCAGCGGTTTGGCGCCTGCCTTTGGCCCAGGGCGCGATCCTGGAGACCCAAGATCAAATCCCACATCGGGCTCCCGGTGCATGGAGCCTGCTTCTCCCTCTGCCTATGTCTCAGCGCCTCTCTCTCTCTCTCTCTCTCTCTCTCTCTCTCTGTGACTATCATAAATAAATAAAAATTTAAAAAAATTAAAAAAAAATGCCAAAGGTAAGAGTATTCTATATGTACAACTTTTTTATTCTTGCTATCAAATACTCAGCTCTGAAATTCACCCACATCTCAAAACACTCTTAATTCTACAAAAGCTCCCTCACACCTGAGAGAAGAAATAAAAATCAACACTCAAAACCTGTCTCATTCTATCTAGCGTTAGAAAAATATTATACTCTTAGAGATGTTTTTACATTCAAATTTTGAAATACTTAATAAGCCATATAGATAATTGTTTTAAAGTTTCAGCTCTGTAGCTTAGAGGATAGACTACTTTGCCAAAGGAAGAGAACTTAATGTAAAAGAGATTTAATCCTAGTTCTTTTCTTTCTAGGAAAAGCATTTACCTATTGCGGCTTACCAAGGAGAGAAAGCCTTAACTAACATGTAACAGTGGATGTTAAACTGTGTAGGAAATCATTCTGCTCTGGCTCCATCTTATGATGGATGTTATCAGGGGAAGAGAGCCAGAGACTTAACTGAAGGGCACATTTTCAAACAGCAAGAAAGGATTTATTAACCCTTTAATTACACAGGAAACACACAGATGTCTCTGGCCATTAGCTCTGAAAGGGATCATAAATGAATTTGCAACCATACTTTGATACCAGCTGTTGCAATACTAAGAAAGGCTTTTCTCATACTGCTATGGAGATATAAGTGCTCTACTGACAAAAGTAAGAGAAACTATGTCTGTCCAAAGTCAGTCTATCAAGTACTTACTAGGGACCACAGGGAACATAGGACTCTACTAGGTATTTGTATACATATCTTCTTTGAGTGAAAATGTTACTACTGTTCTACACAAAATTCGTTTTCAAAAAACACAGAGTTGAAACATATTTTCATTTATTTTCTACTTACAAATCAGGTTTTTGTCCTTGCTGCAGTTCATGTCGAGGTACAGGGTAAAGAGCTTCATAGTTTCTCTTATCTTTTGATCCATGAATAGCAAATGCATTGAATTTTGTCACATGTGGTGGAAAATAACTCCAAGGAAGATAAGCTCTGCCTTCCCATTTTGTCTTTCCTGTGCACACTTTGTACGACAGAGCAAGTTCTTTCTACGGAAATAACAGGTGAAATACAAAAGGTATATTTAGATTTTATATAGGATATGTATATAACATATATGTATATTACATATTTAAGGATTTTGTCTAATATTTTTATTTACTTACTTTCCACACATTTCTTCTTCCAGAGAGTAAAAGCACCAAATGTTGTCCATGACTGTCAAAATTAAAATTCCTCATGAGTGTTTGAAAGAAACAAATGTTATTTTCTTTACTTTCCTTCATGTCTGCAATATGTGCATATCTACAATATGAATATTGGATAATTATAGGGAGAACCAGTGTGTTCAGTTACTTAGAAATATCATCTTTGAGTATTTCATTTTTCAGAAAACTGCAGTCAAATGCCTAAAGCTACACATGTTCAGACTGCCTCTTAAATTTTATAAATAAGAAATTACATAAAATACTTCAACCAGTTAGATGGTACAAAATATGAAAAAGGTTGGGAAATACCATAGTATCTGCTGCTCAAAATAAAACCAATTTCAAAAACTAAATAAAGTACCCTAAAAGAAGCTGGCACTGATTTCTAAGTCTGAATCCAACAACTTTACTAAAGGTTACTTCTGTAAAAAAAAAAAAAAAAAAAACCAACTGTCTTGAAGCTCATTAGGAAGATAGAAAATAAAAACATAGATTGTCTAATAGAAGTGAACATGCTGAAGATTTTAACTTGTGTCTATTCTCTTCCACAACTGTCCTCTCAGTTCTGTCTGCCTCTTGTATTTTCCTGCTTTATACCATTAGTTTTTGACACTAATGTCACATTTTCAAAGATAAAATATATCCTCATATGGAATTCTAACAAGAGTGCATAACTGGGATTAGCCAGGTCAGGAAGAATTAAAGGATTTCAAATAGCTACATGAAGCAAATTTACTGTCAGTGGAAAAGACTAAACATTTCCTCTCAAATGGACTGTTGTGAGCTTTTCAGAGAGGACTTTCCTTCAATAAACTATTTTTAACAGAAAACAAGTATTGGTTTTCATTTAAAAGTTCTCAGCTTATTTTTATTATTATGCAACTTTAAGAATATCCTAAAAGGAATAAAATTCCTTGCAAATTAAAACAATAATATTCTTCATGCTGCTTTCCCAGAGGTTAATTAACCATCACAAGAGTTGATTGCCTGAAGCAAATGCATAATTCTTGATTAACTGTCCCGTAATAAACGAAACCAAACTACTCTACAGACTTTTTTTAACTTCTTAGTAACTTAAAAATATATTTTTTAAATTATTAATTTCATACATAATGGTTATCATATAATTTAAAAACAAAAGAGAATCTATCCTATTCATCTACTACGAAGTCATCACTTTGTGAAAATAAACTGGTATCACCTAATAAAATTAAAACTAAGGATAAAACTTTAGAATTCTATCCAAGTTCTTAACTGCTTTCTAGACAAGTTATAAACCTGTTTGCCTTAGCTATCTCACCTGTACGATGAAACTAATCACATAATAATTGAAGTTTTCTTACCTCACATGACAGTTAAATGATAGTTTTCAGTAAAAGATTCTGTCATGTTAGTTAAAAGGTAACACACAAAGATATATGACTACTCTCAAAAATAAAATTGTGAACAGCTATGCTTTCCAAATTACATTTAGCAAGAAATCAAATTAAGGGAAAAGAAAATGGTATCTAAAATCTCATTCAAATCAACTGTTTGGGACTCTGTCCACCCAACAAACATATAGAGGATACTGGATATTAGATACAGAGAGGTATTTAAAGGTCACTTAAAATGAATAATGGCAATACAAGAAATATTTCATTACTACTTTGCTAATTCAGAATTTATATGAATTTAGAATTTAGATGACAGTTAGATGACAGCCATAAATTTATTTTTTACATATATAGGAAAAAACTGCCAACCAGGTAAAGAGGGTTCCTAAAGGACTGGTCAAATTTGAAAAGATTCTAAGGTTAATATTTTTGATAAGTCTAAAAAAACCTATGTGTGATTTAATTTTTATCCCTAGCGTTGAACACAAAGTGACATAGTATACACTCAATAATTCAATGATGAGTAAAGAATACATAAATACATAATTGTGTAATACATAAAATTCAAGTTTAATAGTCATTTAAAAAATTCCCTAAAAGAATATAGTTCAATTCATTATATCTATATCTCCCTTTATTTCTGAATAACTAATACATAATGATGCAAATTTCAGAATAAGTAGTGAAAGTTTGTTATTTATAATGATAAATATATTTATATTTTTCACTTTACAAAAAACTTTAACAATTAGAAAACCAGCCACATTAGTGAATTATATATATCAGCATATTTTCAAACATTTATAAAATATGATATATTTACTTAAAATACACATAACAATACACATAATTCATATACATATGTAAAATGTATAATGGATAATTAATTCAGATTAGCATTCTTTCTTTTGGTTGAGCTTTTACCATGAATCATATCATTTATAACTAGAAATTAACTGTATTCCAATTATATAGTAATAAGTTAGAAAAAATTTTATACTTACGGACAAAGTTCAACTTCTAAATATTGTTTGGTTATGTCATTCAAGAAAAATGCTTCCACAACTTTTGAAAAGAGATAAGACATACCAAGAAATTTAACTTTGCTTCAGTAATAAATAATTTGTTTATTTTTTAGAATATAAAATGAATTAACTCAATATTTTAATTTTTTAAAAAAGATTTTATTTATTTATTCATGAGAGACACAGAAAGGCAGACATAAGCAGAAGGAAAAGCAGGCTCCCCATGGAAGCCCAATGCAGGACTCGATCCCAGAACTCTAGGATCACGCCCTGAGCCAAACACAGGCGCTCAACCGCTGAGCCTCCCAGGCGTCCTAACTCGTTATTTTTAACATGATTCTATCCCCACTGGAAAAGGGGAAAAGAAAATAAATATACATTGCTTGGAAGAGGAAATACATAGAAAATAAATCATCAATTTTTTCCCATATCCAACTGTCCTAAGTTAAAAATATTAACAAAGCCTAGTGCTGGGTGAGATTCAAAAAAAAAAATATATATATATATATGTATATATATATACACATACACACACACACACACACACACACACACTACACAGACTTTGAACCAGTTATCTTCTTCTAGGAATTTATCTTAAGGAAATAATCAGACAACTGAGAAAAGAAATAAATATAATGCTATTCATTAAAGCATTGCTTAAAAATTGGGAATGATCTAAATGGTTATCTCTAATGTACAACTAAAACTCCTATTATACAGGAGAGCTGTTAAACATTACAAACAAATATACAGTTAAATTTTTTTGATATGGGAAGATAGACATCATATTTGATAAGCAGGCTGCAGAAAAATAACCAAATGTACATGGAATAAGAATATCCCTGTGTGCCTGTGTCTAGATGTCTACAAAATATGCATAGATATACAAAAAATGACCACTTATCTTTGAGAGGGAGAATACAGGTAGGTGATTTTTCTTTTCTTTATAATTTCCTGGAGTTTTCTGAACATACCATATTTTAAAAGTTATTTAATTGTGAAAATAATACATATTTCTTATAAATGATTAAAACAATACAAACACATGAAGTAAAAAGTCAAAGTTCTTTTCTTCCCACTTTGCTCTAAAACCTGTCAGACTTTTTCTATCCTTCTACAACCTATTTCACCTGCATGGATTTTAAAAAAAAAATATGGAATCATACTTGCCTACAACTTTCCTTTTTCACAAAAAAACAAACAAACAAAAAAACCCAACCTTTCTGGCATATAGAAACCTAATGCTTTTAAATTACTACATAGTATTTTTCTATAAAATGTTATAATTTATTCATATAATCCTTTAAGATAAACATTTAGGGCAGCCCGGGTGGCTCAGTGGTTTAGCGCCGCCTTCAGCCCCGGGCCTGATCCTGGAGACCTGGGATTGAGTCCCACATCGGGCTCCTGGGATGGAGCCTGTTTCTCTCTCTGCCTGTGTCTCTGCCTCTATCTTTCTGTGTCTCTCATGAATAAATAAAGATAAACATTTAGGTTATTTCCAGTTTTCCATGTGTTATTTTTATAATGAAATATCTAAGATACAGATACAGTTCCATCAACAAGTCAGCTTTGTCCCTTTCTAAGTCTTTAACCTAAATGAATTAGAATGCTTCCATGATGGTTAATTTTATGTGTCTACTTTAACCACGGTACCCAGATATCTGGTCAAACGTTATTCTAGATGTATTGGTGAAGGTATTGTTTGAAACAGATTTAACATTAAATCAGTAGACTTTTGGTAAAGCAGATTACCCTCCATAATGTGGCTGAGTCTCATGCAATCAATTGAAGGTGTTAACAGAAAAAAGACAGACCTCCCCTGACCATGAAGGAATTCTGCTGGCCGACCATCAGACTCAAACTGCAGTATTAGCTCTTCCCTAGGTCTCCAGCCTACTGCTCTACCCTGCATATTTTGTACTTGCCAGGCTCCAAAACTACATAAGCCAATTCCTTAAAATAAATCTCTCTTTCTCTATACACACACCCTCTCTATCTCTTTCCCTCTCTCACTCCCTCTCAACCGTTTCTCCAGAGAACTCTAATACATATTCTAATTACTATTTTGCATAATCATCTTAAAATCATTTTTGCATCTTCTCTATTAAACACTGTATTAAATTCTGGGAGTACCTTAATAGGCTTACAATCTAATCAGACATGAAAGTGGATGCTCCTAATAAAAAATATTAAAAGGGAAGGAGGCATGGGTTGCTGCTACATAATTAAGAAAGAAAGAAAGAAAGAAAGAAAGAAAGAAAGAAAGAAAGAAAGAAAGAAAGAAAGAAAATAGACACTTAGCTCAAAAAAAAAAGTGGTTTAGGGAAGGATTCTTGGAGAAGGTGCTATCTAAGCTCCACCTTGAAAAATGAGTGGGAATTGGGGGAAGAAGACGATGGAAAGGGCATTCCAGGGTGAAGAGAGAGTATAATCAAATGTACGTGATTAGGGAAATATTGTCCCTTAAAGAATTAGAAATAGTTCAGTCTTTCTAGGCAGACATTTCAACGCATGAAGCATAATTCTGCAAAAAAATAAGGGACTAGGTCATTGAAAATCTTATACAGAGATCATAATAAGAAGGGTGAAACTATCCTGAGAGGATAGAGAGCCTGAGAAGGTTTGTAAGGACCTGAATTATGAGTTTGAATTTTCATTTTTGATAGATCACTTTGGCTTCTAAGTGAAAGATGGATATAGGGGCAAAAGACTATTAAGGAAGCTTTGACTTGGGATCCCTGGGTGGCGCAGCGGTTTGGCGCCTGCCTTTGGCCCAGGGCGCGATCCTGGAGACCCGGGATCGAATCCCACATCGGGCTCCCGGTGCATGGAGCCTGCTTCTCCCTCTGCCTGTGTCTCTGCCTCTCTCTCTCTCTCTGTACCTATTGTAAATAAATAAATAAAAAACCTTTAAAAAAAAAAAAAAAAGGAAGCTTTGACTAGCTAAGGTAAAAGATCATAAAGGCCTAACTTATGGTAGGGATGTTGTGGATGAAGAAGAGGTACTAAATTAGAGAAACATTTAGGAGGTGAAGCTGACAGGACTCGTAAATGCATCCAAATATGAAGAGTGAAAGAAAGGAATATCTTCAAAAGATCTCATATTTCTATATCTAATGAATTAAGGTATTATAGTGACTGGGCACATGGGGAAAGAAGCATGTTTGTGAGAGAAGAGGATGAGTTGAGCTTAGGACTTCTTGAGTTTGGTGGCTATAGTACCTCTAGTAGATAAGCCACATTAATGTCTACACCAGTATGTAGCTGGTATATACAAGTTCTGTACTGGTAAAAGATAACATGTTTTACATATTATTTATCACTGACAAGATGCATGCTATACAGATGTTAGTATGGACTACAAGAATCATCAAAGGTTTCTTTAAAGAAATGAAACCTATATTAGACCTTGAACTAAGTGCATTAGAGTGGAGAGAATAGGATGAGAAAAGGTACATGGGTGAGAATATGCATAGATAGTAAGACCATTAGTCTTTCAGAAGTCAAGAGCTTTTGGTTGACATATGATTCTACTTACATATGGAATCTGGAAAACAAAACAAATGAGTAAACAAAAGGCAGAAACAGACCCATAAATACAGAATGGCTGCCAGAGGGTGGAGAGGGTAGAGGGTGCCGAGGGTAGGGGGATAGGCAACATGAATGAAGGGGAGTGGGAGATACAGTCTTCCAGTCACGGAATGAATAAGTCATAGGGATAAAAGGCACAAAAGGCACAGCATAAGGAATATAGTGGTACCATTAATAGCTCTGTATGGAGATGGATGGTAGCTACACTTGGGGTGAGCATAGAATAACATATAGACTTGTGGAATCACTATGTTGTACACCTGAAACTAATGTAACACTGTTATATTTAAAAAGAGCTTTTGATTGAATAGGATAGCCCAATTCATGAGTACTCTGAAAGCTTATAGAAAGGGTTTGAACTTTATCTCAGGGATACTTATGGTTTGTAACCTGAGGAATGGAATCATAAAGAGTATTTCAGAAAGATAAGTTTGGTAGTTTAATTAGAAGAGGATCATATAGCAAACCTGGCACAATGTAATTTCATGGCATGTCTTTAGCCTTCATTTGACATGTGAGATTAATTGCCAGTATAATATAAAAACTATATATTTTTTAAAGATATTTATTTATTTATTCATGAGAGGCACAGAGAGAGAGAAAGAGACAGAAACACAGGGAGAGGGAGAAGCAGGCTCCATGCAGGGAGCCTGAGGTGGGACTTGATCCTGGGTCTCCAGGATCACACCCTGGGCCGAAGGCAGCACTAAACCACTGGGCCACTGGGGCTGCCCTAAAAACTATATTTTATATTAAAGTTAATAATATTTCTATAAGTAAAATATCCCTGAACTTCCACAAAGAAGGTTTATAAGGTTAAGGTGGCAATTTGAAGATACTTAAAGACAAAACAGAAATGCTGAACTATTCTTAAAAAAGGTATCAGAACTAAAAGAAAGAAATATGGCAGCATTTAAAAGTCTGGATTTGATACCGCCATTTTTCACTGTTCTCATTATATAGCTGAAGTCACATAGGTGATGATGAAAAAGTCAGAATGAGAGATTGGTAAAGAATGGAAGAAACCACACATGTCAGTTGTTCTGAAGAGCACTCACTTCCTTAGAGCAAGATAAAAATAATAGTTCTAGGAGAGGTTATTATAAAAAGATTTATGTTTGTAATAAAATACAGTACTTCCACTTACCTTCATAATCCCAAAGTTCATTGAAAGGTTTTCCTGGTTCTCCAAGTGGGGCTGGAGGATCATTGAAAAATGGAGCATTAACTTCCATCATCACTCCTCCATCGCCTGGATTCAACCTGACAAATGCTGGCTCATGCTTCACTGGAAGACCATCCCAAGTGTGTTCAATTTTAAAATCCATCTGAAGACTCTAAAAGAAAAAAAAAGTTTAAAAACTCTTTAAAAATATACAAATGTTTCCTTTAGTTAGACATGAAATGAGAATTTCAATGCAAAAAAGCAGGCAGTAAGGCAGCAAGTAACAAGTAACAATTCTGAGAGTCAAAAGGCTATTAGTCTTATGGCAAACCATGGACAGGAGTTCTATTGTAAAATAGGTAGTTGGATCCTAAAAACTTTAGAATGAAGTCTAGATCCAGCTCAAGTTACCTTGTAAAGAGTATGTCAAAATCATTTTTAAAAACAGTAATTAGTCCACTGAAGAAACTGTGTACATAAGACTATAAACACTTGAGTTTCTAGGTCATCCTTTGTCTTCTAAAATGTGCAGGTGTCTGAATTATTGGAGCCTTTGGGAATCAATATCTTTATAATAAAATTCAATCTGATAAAAAAATGACTCTATAAATCAGCAGAAGCACTGCTGTTAACATCTGTTTCTTTGACCAAAACCCTTTCTTTTTGAGTAGCAAATGAAGGGCGGCGGGGGTCGGGGGGCTCCAACCATTTCAAGGTTAGTAGAGTTTATATTGTCTTCCTTGGTCTCAGGGTATAGATTTTCTTAGTTTCTTCAATTGTTGAAATTTCACGTGTTAAATGACTACATGTTTGGTTAATCCCTTCTCTCTGACTGAAAAATATGAACAAAATTTATCATTAACACTTTGAAATAGACTAAATACATTTGATACAAGAAGTATTTGCATTTTAGATTTTTTTCTTTAAAAAGTAAGTAGAGGGATCCCTGGGTGGCGCAGGGGTTTGGCGCCTGCCTTTGGCTCAGGGCGCGATCCTGAAGACCCGGGATCGAATCCCATATCGGGCTCCCGGTGCATGGAGCCTGCTTCTCCCTCTGCCTGTGTCTCTGCCTCTTTCTCTCTCTCTGTGACTATCATAAATAATAAATAAATTTAAAAAAAAAAATAAAAAGTAAGTAGACCTACATAGTATTATATTAATAGAATTACATTTTTTTATTAAACAGTATGGATCTGGCATTTTATAAATATTATCTCATTTAACTTCACAACAAACTTGGGAAGGAACCATTTTTATCGTCCTTACAAATGAAGAAACACACACAAAAACAAAAAACAAAACAAAACAAAACAAAAAAAACAAATGAAGAAACAAATTTGTCCAAAGTCACATGCCTAGCAAATCATGAAACTGAACCAATATAGGCCATGTTTTCCCAGATGAAGATATTTCAGGAATCTGCAAGAGGATGCAAACCTTATTTTAAGAGTGGTGGATTCCCCAAATCATAGTACATCATTACGTCTTGATCAGAAGATAATCCTGATTAGTAATGATGCTATTTCTAGACTTTAATTTCCCTTATCTGAAGTCTGTGCACTTCCTTGCTTCACATGTTACTTTTACTACAAATAATAAAGTTATTAAGTTTTAAATAACTTAATAGGTAGCACTACTTTACACCCCCAACAAGAGTAGCTCTGCTTTTATATTTAATTTCAATGAATAGATACTGAATACCTCCTAGGTACCAATAACAGGGAGATCCAAATATTTAAGCTCTGTGGAACCAGTAATCCAAGATCTCTGAAAACCTTTTCCTAAGTATGCAGGTCTTCCCAATTTTCACTACATGTTAATTAGAGGTTAATTGATAACCTCTAAAATAAAAAAAAATAATAATTCTAGTATTATAACCCATTTACCACTATTAGTATGTGAGAAAGACAATACATTCAGCAATTTATATTCTTTACTATTAAAATAAACTCAGTGAGTGATAAGACTGCATAAATTGATTCTGATTTTTGTAGTACTGGCTTATATGGAATAAAATACCTCAACGATAAAATAACTTTCTTTAGTTGAAATATCAAGGCACATTCTTCATATATAAATGGATAAACCTCAATCTCAAATTTTAGTACTAATAAGTATTATCTTAAAGCATATGGGAAGAAATAAAAATAAGTCAAGATATTAGAAATGCCGATTAAATTTGATTGATACCAATATGCTAAGAGAATATGCTATTCTCCTAATTTGGAGCTTAACAATCCTGGCAAAATATAACATAGTGACTAGGAAGCTTTGGCAGATTCACTCATCCTCCACAGGACCAGTATATCTACAAAAATACTGCACACATTAAAGGGATCCCTATCTAATCATTGGGTTTCCACTAGGGAGTTTTCACAGGGTTTCTTTTTTTTTTTTTAATTAATTTATTTATTTGTGATAGTCACACAGAATGAGAGAGAGAGGCAGAGACACAGGCAGAGGGAGAAGCAGGCTCCATGCACCAGGAGCCTGACGTGATATTCGATTCTGGGTCTCCAGGATCGCGCCCTGGGCCAAAGGCAGGCGCTAAACCGCAGCGTCACCCAGGGATCCCCACTAGGGAGTTTTCAATTCCCAGCTTTCAGGCAATAATCTCTATGTTCAAATGGAATTAAACCATTTCCAGCGAGTTGATCCTAAAAATGGCCTGTCAATTCCATTCACACAAGGTGGGTCTTGTGGTCAGAATGAGGTGTAGTTTATACTTTCAAATTAATTCAAAATATAATCTTATCTGAAAGAAGAACTTAAATATAAAAGCAGAGCTACTCTTGTTGGGAGTATAAAGTAGTGCTACCTCAAGACTTTCTACTGGCCCTTTTCCCTGATTTTTTTGAGCAGTGTTTGAAATTAATGCAAGAGGAACTGAAAGAATATGTGACCTCCAAACCAGCTCTGCAAGAAATTTTAAGGGGGACTCTTAAAATTCCCCTTTAAGAAGAAGTTCAGTGGAACAATCCACAAAAACAAGGACTGAATAGATATCATGATGACACTAAACTCATATCTGTCAATAGTAACTCTGAATGTGAATGGGCTTAATGACCCCATCAAAAGGCGCAGGGTTTCAGACTGGATAAAAAAGCAGGACCCATCTATTTGCTGTCTACAAGAGACTCATTTTAGACAGAAGGACACCTACAGCCTGAAAATAAAAGGTTGGAGAACCATTTACCATTCAAATGGTCCTCAAAAGAAAGCAGGGGTAGCCATCCTTATATCAGATAAACTAAAATTTACCCCGAAGACTGTAGTAAGAGATTAAGAGGGACACTATATTATACTTAAAGGATCTATCCAACAAGAGGACTTAACAATCCTCAATATATATGCCCCAAATGTGGGAACTGCCAAATATTTAAATCAATTAATAACCAAAGTGAAGAAATAGTTAGATAGTAATACACTTATACTTGGTGACTTCAATCTAGCTCTTTCTATACTCGATAGGTCTTCTAAGCACAACATCTCCAAAGAAACGAGAGCTTTAAATGATACACTGGACCAGATGGATTTCACAGATATCTACAGAACTTTACATCCAAACTCAACTGAATACACATTCTTCTCAAGTGCACATGGAACTTTCTCCAGAATAGACCACATACTGGGTCAGAAATCGGGTCTGAACCGATAGCAAAAGATTGGTATTGTCCCCTGCATATTCTCAGACCATAATGCCTTGAAATTAGAACTAAATCACAACAAGAAGTTTGAAAGGATTTCAAACACGTGGAGGTTAAGGACCATCCTGCTAAAAGATGAAAGGGTCAACCAGGAAATTAAGGAAGAATTAAAAAGATTCATGGAAACTAATGAGAATGAAGATAGAACCATTCAAAATCTTTGGGATGCAGCAAAAGCAGTCCTAAGGAGGAAATACATCGCAATACAAGCATCCATTCAAAAACTAGAAAGAACTCAAATACAAAAGCTAACCTTACACATAAAGGAGCTAGAGAAAAAACAGCAAATAGATCCTACACCCAGCAGAAGAAGAGAGTTAATAAAGATTTAAGCAGAACTCAACGAAATCGAGACCAGAAGAACTGTGGAATAGATAAACAGAACCAGGAGTTGGTTCCTTGAAAGAATTAATAAGATAGATAAACCATTAGCCAGCCTTATTAAAAAGAAGAGAGAGAAGACTCAATAAAATCACGAATGAGAAAGGAGAGATCACTACCAACACAAGGAAATACAAACGATTTTAAAAACATTATGAACAGCTCTACGCCAATAAATTAGGCAATCTGGAAGAAATGGACGCATTCCTGGAAAGCCCCAAACTACCAAAACTGGAACAGGAAGAAATAGAAAACCTGAACAGGCCAATAACCGGGAGGAAATTGAAGCAGTCATCAAAAACCTCCCAAGACACAAAAGTCCAGGGCCAGATGTCTTCCCAGGGGAATTCTATCAAACGTTTAAAGAAGAAATCATACCTATTCTACTAAAACTGTTTGGAAAGATAGAAAGAGATGGAGTACTTCCAAATTCGTTCTATGAGGCCAGCATCACTTTAATTCCAAAACCAGACAAAGACCCCACCAAAAAGGAGAATTACAGACCAATATCCCTGATGAACATGGATGCAAAAATTCTCAACAAGATACTAGCCAATCGGATCCAACAGTACACTAAGAAAATTATTCACCATGACCAAGTAGGATTTATCCCCGGGACACAAGGCTGGTTCAACACTCGTAAAACAATCAATGTGATTCATCATATCAGCAAGAGAAAAACAAAGAACCATATGATCCTCTCATTAGATGCAGAGAAAGCATTTGACAAAATACAGCATCCATTCCTGATCAAAACTCTTCAGAGTGTAGGGATAGAGGGAACTTTCCTCGACATCTTAAAAGCCATCTACAAAAAGCCCACAGCAAATATCATTCTCCTTGGGGAAGCACTGGGAGCCTTTCCCCTAAGATCAGGAACAAGACAGGGATGTCCACTCTCACCACTGCTATTCAACATAGTACTGGAAGTCCTAGCCTCAGCAATCAGACAACAAAAAGACATTAAAGGCATTCAAATTGGCAAAGAAGAAGTCAAAGTCTCCCTCTTCGCCGACGACATGATACTGTACATAGAAAACCCAAAAGCCTCCACCCCAAGATTGCTAGAACTCATACAGCAATTTGGTAGCGTGGCAGGATACAAAATCAATGCCCAGAAATCAGTGGCATTTCTATACACTAACAATGAGACTGAAGAAAGAGAAATTAAGGAGTCAATCCCATTTCCATTTGCACCCAAAAGCATAAGATACCTAGGAATAAACCTAACCAAAGAGGTAAAGGATCTATACCCTAAAAACTATAGAACACTTCTAAAAGAAATTGAGGAAGACTCAAAAAGATGAAAAAATATTCCATGCTCATGGATTGGCAGAATTAATATTGTGAAAATGTCAATGTTACCCAGGGCAATTTACACATTTAATGCAATCCCTATCAAAATACCATGGACTTTCTTCAGAGAGTTAGAACAAATTATTTTAAGATTTGTGTGGAATCAGAAAAGACCCCGAATAGCCAGGGAAATCTTAAAAAAGAAAACCATATCTGGGGGCATCACAATGCCAGATTTCAGGTTGTACTACAAAGCTGGGGTCATCAAGACAGTGTGGTACTGGCACAAAAACAGACACATAGACCAATGGAACAGAATAGAGAACCCAGAAGTGAACCCTGAACTTTATAGTCAACTAATATTTGATAAAGGAGGAAAGACTATCCATTGGAAGAAAGACAGTCTCTTCAATCAATGGTGCTGGGAAAATTGGACAGCCACATGCAGAAGAATGAAACTAGACCACTCTCTTTCACCATACACAAAGATAAACTCAAAATGGATGAAAGATCTAAATGTGAGACAAGATTCCATCAAAATCCTAGAGGAGAACACAGGCAACACCCTTTTTGAACTCGGCCACAGTAACTTCTTGCAAGATACATCCATGAAGGCAAGGGGAACAAAAGCAAAATGAACTATTGGGACTTCATCAAGATAAGAAGCTTTTGCACAGCAAAGGATACAGTCAACAAAACTAAAAGACAACCTACAGAATGGGAGAAGATATTTGCAAATGACGTATCAGATAAAGGGCTAGTTTCCAAGATCTATAAAGAACTTCTTAAACTCAACACCAAAGAAACAAACAATCCAATCATGAAATGGGCAAAAGACATGAAGAGAAATCTCACAGAGGAAGACATAGACATGCCAACACGCACATGAGAAAATGCTCTGCATCACTGGCCATCAGGGAAATACAAATCAAAACCACAATGAGATACCACCTCACACCAGTGAGAATGGGGAAAATTAACAAGGCAGGAAACCACAAATGTTGGAGAGGATGCGGAGAAAAGGGAACCCTCTTACACTGTTGGTGGGAATGTGAACTGGTACAGCCACTCTGGAAAACTGTGTGGAGGTTCCTCAAAGAGTTAAAAATAGACCTGCCCTATGACCCAGCAACTGCACTGTTGGGGATTTACCCCAAAGATACAGATGTAGTGAAACACCGGGACACCTGCACCCCGATGTTTCTAGCAGCCATGTCCACAATAGCCAAACTGTGGAAGGAGCCTCGGTGTCCATCAAAGGTGAATGGATAAAGAGATGTGGTTTATCTATACAATGGAATATTACTCAGCCATTAGAAACGACAAATACCCACCATTTGCTTCAACGTGGATGGAACTGGAGGGTATTATGCTAAGTGAAGTAAGTCAATCAGAGAAGGACAAACATTATATGTTCTCATTCATTTGGGGAATATAAATAATAGTGAAAGGGAATGTAAGGGAAGGGAGAAGAAATGTGTGGGGAATATCAGAAAGGGAGACAGAACATAAAGACTCCTAACTCTGGGAAACGAACTAGGAGTGGTGGAAGGGGAGGAGGGTGGGGGGTGGGGGTGAATGGGTGACGGGCACTGAGGGGGGCACTTGACGGGATGAGCACTGGCTGTTATTCTGTATGTTGGTAAATTGAACACCAATAAAAAATAAATTTATTTAAAAAAAATTAATGCAAGAAATATTGAATATACTTCCACCAGCTGGGAGGAGTGCCATGGCTGACATGGCTGACAAGGGTAGAATGTAATTTTGGCTTTGATTGCATAAAATGATTTTAGTTTCCTACTAGAGTGACAAATTTGTTAAGTTGCTTAAAGAACACTAATTCTAATCCAAGTGTGCATAATATTTATAACAAAATTAACCTAAAAAGTATAGTCCTGCCCACTAGTTTACAATGTAATCTAAAGATAACATGGATCCAGAGAGAAACAACTGATTCCCCTTTCAACTTCCTGGGGACCGGGATACTTAGAATTCTCTCTTGAAACTTAATTTTTACTGCCTCTCAATTTTGTATGCACATGTGCTCATATGAAATAAAGACAATTCAACTGTCAATGTCCTTTGTGACCTATGCTAGTGTGCATCCCCCACTCTACTTTTTATCATTCTCTGCTGCCTGTACATTGCTCAGTTTTGATTCACAGCATCATACCACATGACATGTTTGTTTATTGTCTCCCCATTCCCAGCCAGAATGCCTGTAAGTAATACGAACTCATCATTTATTTGTCAAGTGAATAATCCTCCTAGTTTTTGGATCCAAAATTTCATGATTCTAAGGTTTTGTGCAAAAGAAATCAATTGTATTCATGGTATCACTCTCTTTCAGTTAAAACAATAGCAAGTAACTAAGATAATATGTCATATCTAGAAACTTCCTTTCAATTTAGTTTATCAAAGGTTACCTACTCACTTTGTTTCAGGTGCTGTACCAGGTGTTAGGGAAATTAACTATAAGCCTAGGGGAGTTAGGGATGTGTCTCATGTAGCTAAACCAACGAAGTCTATTATCAATTGGTTTATTTTATAGTCCAATTTGATAAAGTTGGATTCCTACACCAAACTAAGTTTTTCTTTTTTAAGATTTTACTTATTTATTTGAGAGAGAGCAAGAGCGGAACACATAAAAGAGGGAGAGGAAGAGGGAGAAGCAGACTCACAGGTGAGCAGAGAGCCCATGTGGGGCTTGATCCCAGGACCCTGGGATCAGAGGCTTAATTGACAGAGCCACCCAGGTGCCCAACCAAACTAAGTTTTAAATGAATCAAAGATTTAAACATAAAAACTATATTAAAAGAGAAAAATGAATTTTTAAGACAATGTTATAGTTGAAAAAGCCTTTTAAGATATAACCCCAAACTCAAAAGACAGAAAAGAATGATACATTTGGCTGCATAAAATTAACAAAACTGAAAGCAAAGACCTGCCTACACCCACCCAAAAAAGCCCACCATTACAAAAATCAAAAGACAGTTGGGGAAAAAATATCTGCAACTCATATTTCAGACAAATAACTAACTTTTTCAGTGTTTAAAGGGGTCCTGGAAATTAATAAGGAAAAAATCAATACCCCAATAGAAAAATAGGATAAAACAGTTAACAGAAAATAATGCAAAATGTTCAACCTCATTTATGATAGAAATGCACATTAAAGCAACAATAAATTACTATTTTCTTGTATTGGAAAATTTGATAACACGATGTGATAATGCAAAACAATGAAAAACGATCACATGTTGTTGGGGCATAACTGGCACAGCTTCTGTGAAGAACAATCCTTCAAAATCTATCAAAACAAAACATGCAAATATCCTTTGATTCAACAATTCTAGTTCTAGGAGTTATTACATCTGCACATATTCAAAATGACATAAGTATAAAGATATTCACTGCAACACTGTCTACAATAACAAAATAATGTAAGCAATTTAAATACCCATAAGTACAGGACTGGTAAGGAAATTATGCTATATCATGCAATGAAATACTACGTAGCTGCTAAAAAAGAATGAAGCAGCTCTCTATATATTTAAAATATACTAAGGGGAAAAAAGCAAGGTGCAAAATGTATGAACTTATTTCATTGAAAAAGAAGACTATTTGCATAAATGCTTGTGAGTACATATACTATCTCAGAAAGCACAGACAAGAAACCAGTGGTGGCAGTGGTTACCTCTTTTGAGGCAATTGCTGGAGATGAGAGCAAGGGAGGCTTATTTTCCTGCTATTACTTAAAACAACAACAACAACAAAAACTGCCTGAATTTCATACTATTAAAAAAATAAATGAATGATTAGAAAGTGTTTTTTAAAGTCCATGGGATACACCTCCTCTCTATATTATATATGCTTAACATTTCTTAAATGTCAGAATGAATACTGGGAATATTATTGAAGGAATATATTCATTCAAGGTGATCACCAGCCTATTATGCAATTTTGATGTTGGTTGTTTAGACTTCCTTAGAAGAATGTTTATCGTTAATCTGTGTTTTTCCACATTTTAACTTCTATTCCTCAAATTACTCTTTCATCCAAAAAAAGTCACAATTTTAAAATTATTTTCATGCTTGTTTGCATTATGGAGAGGCCTTTAAAAGGAAAGTTGAGAAAGGAGAGAACCGCAGAGCACTAAGTGTCCAGGAGACAAAAAACATTCCACAAAGGTTAAAAGAAGGAAGTAATGGAAAAGATGTTTTCTCAGAACGTTTTACAAGGGAAATTTCCAAATTCTTCTATTCACGAAATTGCCTTTAGTTTCCTATAATTATATTTCAGTTTGCATTCTTGCTTCCACCTGCACTCCCGGCCGTTTACGAGAGAAACGGAGAAAGGAAGCAGTCGGAAAGTGGGAGTAAATAAACTGTGCCAGCAGAAGCAGCAGCTGAAAAAGAAGTAACCAAAGAAAAGGCTAACAAGACTGGGCGAAGCTGCAAGTAAGAAGGGAGGTAAGGACGCTAAACAAGAGAAGAACACAGACCGGGAAGCTCTTTTTCCGTTCAAGACTCACTCAGCTCGCTGCTTTCTGCGCAGGTAACTGAAGAGGGCTCAGTCGTAGGCTCCGCCCAGCTGCCTACATACCAGGGGGGTTGGGCATGGAGGACAGAAGCAAACTCGTCCTGGTTTTACAGGAAAGGAAAAAAAGGAAGTGAACCTCTGAACTTTTGATCATTCTACTGAAGTTTGAGTGATTTTCTAGAAGGAGAAGGAAGGGTAATTCAGCAATATAAATACCATGTAACAATCTGAAAATGAGCTGTAAATTCCAGTTCAGGCAGGCACTTTCCAACTATGATCACCAGCAAGTCACTGTAAAAAGGATTTTGTGAATGGAGATACATATACATAAATGTATTTAGCACAGTGCCTAGCATGTATGCAGTAAATACTCAGAAAACATTAGCTGTTATTATTAAAGTATACGCAGGTTTGCGTAAAGAAAGTATTTTTCTGTTGAAAATTTTTAAATTATAGGTTACTTAAGTGGTTGTCCTATAAAAACTAGACTACAAGGCAGGATAGTCTAAATGACCCTTGAGATACCAAAATATAGTTCTGGTTGGTTCAGTCTTACCTATTCCAACAGTTTCAGTATTTATCAGCTTATTTTCCTTCATTTAGTGTCTCCCACCCAAGACAGTGTGAACTTATTGTTTCTATACAGGATTAGATGTAAATTCATAACATAATCAAATATAAACTTTTAAAGTTCTCAAGGAAAGGCAATGATTTACAGAACTACTCTATTTCTTTTTTTTTTTAATTTTTTTATTTATTTATTTTTGATAGTCACAGAGAGAGAAAGAGAGAGAGGCAGAGACACAGGCAGAGGGAGAAGCAGGCTCCATGCACCGGGAGCCCAATGTGGGATTCGATCCCGGGTCTCCAGGATCGCGCCCTGGGCCAAAGGCAGGCGCCAAACCGCTGCGCCACCCAGGGATCCCAGAACTACTCTATTTCTAAATAATAAAATCATTCTGTATTTTGGTTGCTGAGAGTTACCAAAATGTCTACAGGATCTGTGGGTTTAATTCAACAAGCAGTCACTGGACCTGAACTTCACAGCTACTCTGAGAATACTGTGCATATTCTACATGTTTAAGTAAATTCACCATTTTCTCCTGATCTGCAACAGCAGATATTACATTAGTGTATGGCCATTATTCAATTATTTTCAGGTAAAGTATTAAAGTATACCATATGAAGCTGCAGAAGAATCACAATTTCATATGGTTTAGCATAAGTATGTTTTGCTCATAACATACTTTTAAAAACTTCTTTGAGGGAAAGCAGCTTTCATATTTGTTTTACGAAAACTATTATTTTTGTTTTATAAAAATCATTTGGTGGGAGAGGGAAATGAGCTCTTGCTCAATTTCCAACTTTGTATTCTTCAAGATGCTTTCCACATGGTACTGGCTGCTTGATGTCAATTTATTAAATTAATATTAGTAAGAACTATAAATTTTCAAAGGTTTTCTTTATTGAAGAAATATATCTAACACAAAAGCATGAAATTGGAGCTAGAGAATGGTTAAACACATGATTTTTCTCATTTCTCATTCCTTGTACTCAATTACACTGATACTTTCCAAGCACTGGAATTCCTTGAATTAATTCCTTCATCGGGTATTTTTGAACCCTTATTGGATTCCAGGCTCTCTAATGGAGCCTAGAAACAAACTACAAAACAATATGATAGAGACTGGATGGAGGAAGAAGCACAAAGTATTAAGGAAGCACCTTCCTTGGAGAAAGTGGGTAGAGAACACAAGAGAACTTTTAAAAGCAAGCAACACTAGAGGGGATACTTTAAGGATAAGTGGAAGCGTGGCAATTTTGTTTCATAAAGATGAAAATATATTTTGTAAAAGTTCCATGCAAAAACCAGTAGAATCTTACAAACCAGCTTCCCAAACAAATCCCAATACTGTAATTCGTATTGAACTTGACTCATCATTTATATCCAGAAAGTGGTCTCTGCGTTCACCAACACTAATACATCTTATCAATATCTAGTGTAGGTGTGGAATTAAGTTTATAACTGATGCCAAATTAACTCCAATGGCAACATGCAGATTCAAATGTAGGAGAACTTAAAGTCTAGTCCTCGGGTAGCAGGGAAGGAGCTCATGAAAAAGTCCTACGCTGGGATCCCTGGGTGGCACAGCGGTTTGGCGCCTGCCTTTGGCCCAGGGCACGATCCTGGAAACCCGGGATCGAATCCCACGTCGGGCTCCCGGTGCATGGAGCCTGCTTCTCCCTCTGCCTGTGTCTCTGCCTCTCTCTCTCTCTCTCTCTCTGTGACTATCATAAATAAATAAAAGTTAAAAAAAAATTTTTGAAAAAGTCCTACGCTGACCTTTCAAGAAAGAGTTGAAGTTTGCCCACTCAATCTCTCCCTCCAGTAAGTTTTTTTTAAAGATTTATTTATTTATTCATGAGAGAAAGAGAGAGAGAGAGGAGCAGAGACACAGGCAGAGGGAGAAGCAGGCTCCATGCAGGGACCCCGACGTGGGACTCGATCCTGGATCTCCAGGATCACACCCTGGGCTGAAGGCGGCGCTAAACCGCTGAGCCACCCGGGCTGCCCTCCAGTAAGTTTTTGTATGAACTTCATGACCCCGAAAACTAGATCAGGTTCCATGTTCACTAACAGAAAGCTAAACTTTTTTTTGTGGTTATTAGACATACCTCCATACTGAACTGGAGCCAGTCTTCACAGGAAGGGATCACCTCATTCTCTTAATAGCGAGTATGGAGAAAGCTTCAGCACTTCAAATCCCTAACCGGACACAGTTGGACGATTCTAACATTGCCTCGTTTATAGAACATTGTGAGTACGGCTGTAAAACTTTAACGGTTCAAGAAAAAAGCCAAATGGAGCCACATCTTGACCTTCACTAAACTACTGTGCTCAACCAAAATTGGTCCTGCACCTACATGACTGTTTAGTGTTTGAAAATAAGGTTTTGGGTGTGATACAGCACTACAAAAAAGTGCTAAATATATTAATAAGAACTTGCTGCCGGCTGTATTTATAACAATTATTTTACATTTGCAGAAATGTAGCGCTTTTCCTCCAAATTTCATAGGTGTAAGAAAAAAAAGGGGGGAAAGGTGCACCATGTTTTAAACTTGCGAATAATTTTTTTTTGAAATCCAGATTCCCCAAAGGAAATTCACCACCCAGACCACACACTTCTCAGCCTTTTACAAGCCAACAGACTGACTGAAGTTTGTCCACAGTTCCTAAGATTTAGCACATATACAAAAATAAAACTTTATAAATTAAAAAAAAAACACAATAAAAACTTCAATAAAAACACACAGTCTATTTTTTTAAAGTCTATTAAAAAGCACTAAAATTAGTGGCTAGCTTCACATTAACATTCTTACTGCCGATGTTGAAATTTCCTCCGATTATTTTTTTAAGATTTTATTTTTTTAAGAGACCGAGAGAGAGAGAGAGAGGGAGAGACACAGGCAGAGGGAGAAGCAGGCTCCATGCACCGGGAGCCCAACGCGGGACTCGATCCCAGGTCTCCAGGGTCACGCCCTGGGCCGAAGCCAGATGCGCAGCCGCTGAGCCACCCGGGCTGCCCATTCCTCCAATTCTAAGATAGGGCTTAAATGCAGACAAAATTTTTAATACTGGAAATTGTCATTTTGCCCTCAGATATTAAGTTTTCTGACCAAAAAAAATGTGACTTTTTTGTTCTTTTTGAGGAAGCAGAGATTTGCAGGATCCTTGTAGCACCTCTAACTACAGACACAGCTAAACACAGCTTGTCTCCTTCCCCTAAAGACCCAGAGGGGCAGGGCCGTACTTAGCTTGTGGAGACCAAGCCCACGTCCAAGATCCTCCAGAAGCTCCGCTCTGGGGGCGGCCTCGGAAGGCGCCCGCTTGGGCTCCGCCTCCAGTCAGACGTCTCCTCACTTTCCAAACCCGCTCCTTTCGGCCAGCAAGCAGGTTCCCTCAGTCCAGAAGTGCCAGGCATCAAAGATTCTGGGCGCGTTTGAAATATGTGCTTGACGCCCTCCCTACGTCTACAACTTGGGGGGGTTTTCTTTAAAAACCCCACGCGCCGCACAGAGCCCCCGGGCTCGCGCCCCGGAGGGAGCCTGCTCGCCGCCTCGGGGGTGGCTCCGCGCGCCGCCTTCCAGGTTCTCACGGCTCCGCCCAGAGCTGGGCCGATAGCCAATAGCGTGTAAGGACTCTAGGAAGCGCGATGACGCAGGCGCCGACGTCCACGTGATGACGCAGGCCGCGTCGCCGTCTCCAAGGAGCGGCCCGGGGCACCGGTTTCAAAGTCGCAGGGCGGGCCGAGTGGACTTCCGCGGCTGGCCCCGGGTTTCGCCGGCGTCCTGGAGCCGACCCCCGCCGTCCTCCCCGAACGCTGCCCCAAGGACGCCGCCGCCCGGCGCCTCGCCGGCTCTGTCGGCTGTGTCCTGAGTGGCCCGGCACGACCCCGAGGGACCTGCGGGACGCCTCCGGCCGCCCGCGTCCGCGCTTTACCCGGCCGGGATTCCGGGCGGCGGGGGGGGGGGGGGGGGACGAGGCCCCAAAATTCACGTGGCGGCTCCTCGGCGAGTCTGGCGTCTGAAGTCCGTTGCCCGGTCGAGGGGCCGCGCTGGGACTCGGGAGAAGGAGGCGCGGCGGGGCTGTCGACGTGAGGAGGATGCTGCCTACGCCCTCGAGAGCTTGACAAGCCCCGGAGCGTCGCTCTCGTCCTGTGTCTCCGCACGGCGAGCTCCCGTGGGGGGGAGGGGGGCGGGGGGGGCGCTTTTGTTGTTTTTTGTTGTTGTTTCATTTTCGGAAGAAAGTGGCAGGTGGTGAAATCCCAAGGAAATGGCCACGGAAATCGACTTTCTGAGAGACCAAAGTAAGCTCCGTATCCCTCTGTGGAAAATGGTTACCGCGCGAGGCGAGGTTGCCGACCGGCTACTATTTTCGAATATGCCCGTTCGGTGCATGGGAATTTTGGAGAGACTCAAGTCAGCTTTACGGGGAAGCCTGGCGGGCGGGCGGTGCGTGTTTGCTTATGCAGAACATCGCCAGGTTCCTGCTTTAGCTGGACGCGGTCAGTATGCTCCTCGCATGCCCCGGAGAAATTAGAGGGGCGAACGGCCAGGAAGAGTCTCCCCAAGGCACAGTTGTGGCTATTTGTTTTCCTTTTTTAAAAAATATTCATGACACACACACACACACACACACACACACACAGAGCGAGGCAGAGACCCAGGCAGAGGGAGAAGCAGGCTCCACGCGGGGAGCCCGACCCGACGTGGGACTCGATCCCGGGCCTCCGGGGTCACGCCCTGGGCTGAAGGCGGGCGCTAACCCGCTGAGCCACCCGGGCTGCCCAGTTGTGGCCGTTTTTGTAAGGAGATGTGTATGTAAAGTCCCGTTTCTGTTACGTGTACGTGCCAGGCTCTCAACAGGCACCGCTGCTGCAAAGAGGTGGACTGTCCTGCCCTCCAGGAATTTAATTTGAGGAAAGAAATCCGTAAATTCCATACATACACGCAAGTGGCAGCAGGTGCTCTTACGCCTCGGTTCCTTCATGGGGTTGTTGGAATGATTAAATGAGGGTTTTTTGTTTTGTTTTTAGGATTTTATTTATTCATGAGACCCGGGGTCGGGGTGGGGGGAGGGCAGAGAGAGAAGCAGACTCCGTGCAGGGAGCCCGACGTGAGGCTAGAACCTGGGACTCCAGGATCACACCCCGGGCTGAAGGCAGACGCTCAACCACTGAGCCACCCAGGTTGCCCCCGATTAAAGGAGTATTAAAATATGTAAAGGGTGGGGCAGCCTGGGTGGCTCAGCGGTTTAGCGCCCCCTTCAGCCCAGGCCCTGATCCTGGAGTCGAGGGATCGATTCCAGTCCGGGTTGGGTTCCTTACATGGAGCCTGCTTCTCCCTCTGCCTGTGACTCTGCCTCTCTCTCTCTCTCTCTCTCTCTCTCTCTCTCTCTCTCTCTCTCTCTCTCTCTGTGTGTGTGTGTGTGTGTGTGTCTCTTACGAATAAATAAATAAAATCTTTTAAAATACGTAAAGGGTTTAGCATAGTATCTGACACTAAACAAATATTTAACTATTAAAGGACTGTTATTAACTGTGATCAAGGAAGGTGTCATTTGGGCTAAAGCTTGAAGCACTAATACGAACCTGCTAGACAAGAACTGTGTGGGTATCCCAAATAGAATGGTATATGCAGCATGTATGCAGCGTTGAGGAGATGAGTATGCAAGGAGGTTGGCTTGTATGGAGTGTGGTTTATCTAAGGAGATAGCAAGTGGAGCTGAACGGGGAAGAATGGGACTGGATAATGAAGGGCCTTGTCTGCTGTGGGTTGAGTTTGGACCGTTGCACAGATGATAGGAACCACTGAAAGGAATTCACGTGAGCGTAGCATGATCGAATTTGATTTGGAAAGCCTGGTATGGCTGTTAGGTGGACTGAGCACTCTAGCAGAGTCTGTTAGGGGACTATTGTTAATTCGCACAAGTAAGTGAACTAAGGTAGTACAGTGAAGTTGGAGATTAGGGAATTTGAGATGAGGTAGGGGGCAACTGAGGTTTTTGCATTAAGCCACAGGGAAGGTAGGGAAAAAGCGGTAAGTTTGGAAGCTTTATAAACCAGTGGTTAAGAACTCAACCCCTAGATTCAGTCTGTCTAGGTTCATATACTAAGTTTATCTCTTTTCAGGTCTTTGACCTTTGGCGAGTTCCTTAGCTCCTTGGTGCTTCAGTTTTCTCATTTATAAAATGGAAATAATAGCACAGTAACCCTCGTGGGGTTATAAGGATTAAATGAAATGATGTAAATAAAGCGTGGTTTCTAGGGCATATTAAATGCGCTATAAAATTTAGAATTAATGGACTATAATGATGCCATACATTAGCATTCTTTTTAGGTTTGAAGTGGGAATATCCGCCACCGCATAAGGAAGAGTGGCTGATCTCCACCTCGAGTAGTGGGGGACAAGAGTTGGGTGATGAGGATTTTGGTTGGGGTGGGGAGGGTACCTGAGTCACCCCAAAACTATGATTTTTAGAGGAATGAGCCAACCATGTTTTCCTTTTAAATGTCAACTAGTATGCCAGTTACAGCTGAGGTAAAAACAGATGGCTTGACCTTCTCCCACTTACTCTAACCTTCACTACACTGACTTCTTTTGATCTTAATTGTCTCTTCATTTGTTCCATTTGGATTTGGTAGTCTAGCTCAAGAGAATTTGATTTAGTGTTTCTCAACTAGCAACCCCTGTGATAAAGCATTAGCTTTACAAATAACTACAGGTAATTCTAAACCCAGTCATGCTCCTAGTAAACTCCTAGCATAATTTCAAGACCCCATTCTCCCACCTCCATCTGAGAAAGGAAATTTGGTAGTCCTTAGAGACCTGTTCAAAGAGATACTTGTTTATGAAGCTAAGAAATGAAAAAGCCATTCTTGTAGTGGGAATTTGGGAAGTGGAGATGAACTTATTTTTTCTTTTCATTCTCTTAAGTGTTCTTCACAGACCAAAAGTTTTTAATTTCGATGAGGTTCTCAATTCTTTTTTTTGTTTTACGATTTTATTTATTCATAAGAGACACAGAGAGAGAGGCAGAGACATAGGCAGAGAGAGAAGCAGGCTCTCTCTGTGGAGTCTGATGTGGGACTCGATCCCAGGACCCTGGGATCACACCCTGAGCCAAAGGCAGATGCTCAACCACTGAGCCACCCAGGCGCCCCTCAATTTGTTCTTATATGGATGTCTTATCTAAGTAATCTTTGCTTAATCAAAGGCTGCAAAGATTTTCTTCTGTGTTTTCTAGAAATTTTGTAATTTTAGGTTTTATATTTAGATTTATGATCCACTTGGCTGAAATTTTGTATAAGGTATAAGGATCAAAGTTTACCTTTTTGCATATGAATGCAATTAAAAAGACTATCCTTTCTCCATTGGATTACCTTTGCTAAAAGTCATTTGTCCTTATTCGTGTCCATCCATTTCTGGACTCTGTTCCATTTTCTTGTTTTATCTGTTTGAGCACCAGTGTTCCACTATTTTTATTATCGCAACTTTATAGTAAGTCATAAAATCAGGTGATGTTAGCCTTTCAAATTTGTTCTTTTTCAGTTATTCTGGCTATTCTAGGTGCTTTGCACTTCCATGTGGATTTTAGAATCAGCTTGTCAATGTCTTCAAAAATATGCTGAGATTTTGAGAGGCATTGCATTGACTCTGTTGATCAATATGTGTAGAATTCATATCTAATGATATTTGAGTCCTTTTATCAATGAAAAGGTTAATCTCTGCCTGCATTTTCCCTCTTTGTGCCATAGCCTGGAAGGTCTCGCAGGTCATTCTCTCCATTGATATATCTATTATTTCTCTTGGCAATATTTTGTAGTTTTCAGTATATAGGTTTTGCACGTCTTTTATCAGATTGATCCCTATGTATTCTGGTTTTGATACTATTATAAATGGTGGTATTCTTTTACTTTTGATTTCTGATTTATCATTGCTAGTATATAGAAATACATCTTTTTTTTGTTTGTTTTCTTTCATGTTGTACCCTGCAACCTTTTTAAACTCACTTACTCTGATAGGTTCTTTTCAAAGTTTATCAGATTTTCTGCATAGATGATCTTTTCATCTGTCAATACACTTTTACTTCCTTTCCAATTTGGATGCCTTTCATTTCCTTGCTTTATTGTATTGGCTAGAACTTCGAGTACAGTTGAACACAAGTGGTTGAAGTGGACATCCTTTTCTTTGTCCTGATCTTAGGGTACAAGCGTCTTTCAGAATTAACTATGATACTAACTGTAGATTTTTCAGAGGTGTTTTTAGGTGATTGAGGATATTCCTTTCTAGACCTAGTTGTCCGAGAGTTTTTATCGGAATGGATTTTGAATTTTTTTCAAATGCTTTTTCTCTGTTTATTGAGAGTATTGAATTTTTTTTTCCATTTTGACTTACATTGATTAATCTTCATATTACCTTTTTGGGGGGATAAACTTCTCTTATGTGTTACCCTTTTTATTGTTTGATTTGGTTTTCTAAAAGTTTATTTAAAATTTTAATTTTCTATATTCATAAAGCCTTTTTCCCTCTTCTCTATGTCTGGTTTTGGTAATAGGCATTGCTTGCC